CTATTTTGCAAGATCACATTCACTCTGAAATCTCTTTCAGCATGTAATAAATTTGCAGAAGAGAGTCAGTGCACCAAAGGGGAAACTTTTCACAAATTCCAGAAGATATATTCAGACAGCAGTGGTTCTGGAAAACCAATTTTTTTCCTGACCAGAAAAATGCTGGTTTGCCCAGCTCTGGTGCCTTTAAAAACAGGTGGCTGCTAGAAGACATCAGCAGGTAAAAGATTTTCAGGACTTAGCAATAAATGCCGGCACCTCTTAATGCCTGCATAGGCACAGGGGCTGATTGAAAAGTTGGCAGCTTAAACCTAAGTTCTGATGAGAAGCAGAGATGGAGGTAGTTTTCTCTTACAGGCCACTGCCTGCCTGTAAGAGGCTGATGATCCAAATCATCTGCAGGGCTGTATATCCACTTTGGATTTTACTTTGAAAACTGCAGGAGCTATCCATGGTGCTGAAAGTACAGGCGAGCTCTTTTAATGTTCGGAGTGAAATCCAGAGTGGATACACAGCTCTGCTGATGTTGCAGCCACGAACCTACAGCTCCCCACTCCCTGCACAAACACACACATGCACACAGTTTGCCTAGTGTTTCATCGCCTCTCCTGGCCCTTCAGGCACATGGCAGCATTAACCAGATTGCATAGCTCTCTTCAGCAAAGGGAAGAATAGGAGAGCGAGCTTCCACAGGCTGCTTGCATCTCCTCCCTCCTGGGCCGACAGAAGTGGTGGCAACAGAAAAAGAAATATTAGCTGGGAGAGCACAGAAGGGTCAACATGCATTTTTGTGGTTCAGTGATTTTCGTGCCACATGATAGATTCTGGAAAGAGACATGACGGCATAGCTCACATTAACGCTCCCATCCGTACCGTATTTTTCTCCTCTGAAGCATGTCCTATTGATTCTGGTGGAGTTAAAAGTTCTCTTCTCTACCCTAGTTCTGTCAAGGAACTGCTCTTTAGAATTTATATGTGAAAAAGCATTCTGATAACCGTATCTTTCCTTCAAGTAACCACAGAGGCTCTGCAATAGGGGAAAATGGGAAGCTACTTGTGCTGGTCCTAATGCTTAACCCCTCTTTCCCCACTTAACTCCCCTTCAAGCACTGCCTATATCTCAAAGATCATGGAGAAAACACTGGGATCAGGCCCACCTGCCATCTTTGGCAGTCTGCCAGGTCTCTCTCTCTCTCTCTCTCTCTCTCATTCTCCCTCTCTCTCTCTCACACACACACACAAACACACACATGCCTTGTTCCAAGAAGGCTGCAAAAACCAGAGGTTTGGCCTCGTTGGAACAGCAAGTGAGACCTTTTGAGCAGCACATGCTGTGTAGGCTTAAGGTAATTATATATCCAATTATCTATTGCTGTATTGATCTGTCCACCCACCCACCCACCCACCCACCCTTTCCTCTATGCACAATTCTCCGTGGATTTCTGCGGCAACAATGCACTGCATCCTCGCTGTGAAAATCTAGTTGCGCCTGCGCAGCATGCTGGATGCGTGTGGGAGTCGGTGCCAACCAGCTCCACCGTCCGTGCCATGGCAGAAGCTGCCTTCCTGCAAGCTCCCGTATGACCGGGTTGCCCAACCGAGCGCTAGTGCTTCCTTGGAAGGGTGCCCTGTCGAATTCAGCAAGTTCTGCTTGCCCATTATGTGAAGCAGAATGGGTGTGAGGGGGGCTTGCATGGTGGGGTGCTCTGCCTTTCCTGAATGTAGCCGTTGCACCTCTCTGTGCTGGCTGAGGGTTGTGGGAGTTGAGGTCCGATGTATCTGGTGTGGAGGGCAAGGAAGCTGGGCAAAGCTGGAATCGAGCCAAGGGGGGGGGAGGAGCAGTCCTATGGCTACAGATAAAACCGACCTGCAGCCTGAGGCCGGAGTACAAAGAAGAAAGAGCAACAGCAACATCATTTAGATAGCTCCTCCTCAAAGCACTTCAAAGTCTGTTTCAGCTAGCAGGGGGCTGCGGCTCGATGGTGGGGCACACGCTTGGCATGCAAAGGTCCTGGGTTTGATTCTTGACATCTCCCAGGTGGGGCAGGAAAAGCCAGGAAGCCTGAGCAGCTATAGCCGGCCAGCTTTGCAAATCCTGGTCTAAGCGGATGGAGGGCCGTTCATGATATGCTGCAGTGCATGGTTTTCCTATGCTTCGAGGTACTGCAGCCAAACCCCGGCTGGAGCATCACCAGCAGGATTTCTGCTGGTGCACCTCTTCCTCTTCCACCCCCCCACCCATTTCTCCCCTTGTGCAATTCACATCAATCTGTATCTTCACTCTCTGGTCCCTGGAACTATATCATTTGCTCTGCCAGCTAAGAGGGCAGGTCTGGTGTCAAGGGCAGGCATGACTGGGCATTTGCTGAGGGCCCACACCCTGGCATGGGCTCACAGACAAGCCTGCTCATCCACCTCCCAGAAGCAGAACTGGATGGGAAGGAGAAGCAGTAGAGGCTGCTGCCGGCTTGCTCTTTGCAGCAGTAGCTGTGGAGAAAGAGGAGCAGGGAGGCCGACTGCAGCAGGCAGCGATGGCTGGGGGAAGGTGGGTTCACTGAGGGGCAGATCTCCAAGGGCACTCCAGAACCTGGAGCTGGCAACATAAATCCCAGAAACCATCACCGATCCCATTCTGCCTGCAAACCAGAATCGGAAACCATGGTTTGAAAGTAGGTTTTTTAGTCTGGGTTTGGAGGGGACCCGTTTGCACCCATCACAGTTTGCTTGGTTTGGCTGACATGGCGAAAAAGAAAAAAAAGAAAGAAAGAAACAAACGCAAAGAAATATGGAGAGGATTTGGAGCCCGGGGAATAAAAGAACAGAAGCACAGAGCCTCTTCATAATGGCCAAAGTATAATTTGGCTGTGACATCTGAACTGGGCCATTAGCTCAGCAAATCTTGACAACAGCCCTGCAGCATAGCTTGGTACTGTGATCTTTGTCTTTAAGATGGGCAGCTGAGGCTGAAACATTGGCAGCTGGACCCCAGTCACACAGTGAGCACACAGCTATGACGAGATTTGAACTGGGGACTCCCCACCTCCCCCCCCCCCCACAACAGTGCAATCCTGTCTATGCTTAATGGCCGGGCTTTCTTCCAAGTGGCCATGCAAGAAGGGGCTGCTTGCTGCCAGGGCAGGCCCAAAATATTTTTCTGCTTGAGGGAAAGGACAAGATAGGGCCCATCCCCAGCTCCACTGGCAGATGCAGGAGCTGACCAGACTGGCAGATGAATGCTGGTAAAGGGGGGGCAACCTCCTTTGCAGGCGAGCTTGGAGGGTGCAACTCTGTCCTCCAAGGGAGCGGCACGGCCGTGGGCTCAGGTGGAATGAAGCAGCTTGTGCTGGTCAGCACCTGCTTCCCGAAGGAAGCCTCACTCTCCCTGATGCAGCTCAGCACTACACTAGACTAAGGCAAAGAGGAAGTTAGGGCACATCGTCCACAGAGGCACATGCTCGTGCGATGCTTATTTGCTAGATGCTGTCATCTGTAAAAAAAATAATAATCGCTCCAGTTTTGTCTCTGCCAGAGAGCAGCAGCCTGGTTCAGACAACAAGATAACCCATGGTTTGTTGTTGAAACATGGGTTATCAAGTTGTTTGAACCCTGTTGCTCTAAGAAACCATGGGTTATTAACCACAAACAACCCATAAAGACAACCCATGGCTTGTTGCTGGCTTGTGAACTGTTGGTCGTTCCTGGTTAAGAAACCATGGTTTGCCAGCATGGTTGCATAACATTTATTTATTACCGTAATAACCCATATTTCAACAACAACCCAAATTCAACACATATTCAGCCTCTGAGTGTGGGTTATCATGCTGTCCAGACCCATTCAGTGTGATCTGATGGTCAGAGTGTGGGAAAAAGAGAGGGAAAACCTGTATCCACATCTCTGTTCAGCCATGAAGCTCACCAGGTGACCTTGGGCCAGTCGCTTTCTCTCAGCCTCCCCTACCTCACAGGGTCACCATGAGGATGAAACTATGCATGGAGGAGAAACCTCTATTCTGCCTTGAATGTCTTTGGAGAAAAGATGGAATATAAGTAAATTCTTGGGGATTGCTTTTTGGCAGAATGGATTGTTAAAATGATGTTGGTGTGATTTGCTAGCACTACCATTCTTCAAGGTTCAGCTCTCAATCCGAGATCTCTAGCTCATGGTTCCTCAGCCACCCCAGAGCCCATTGCAAATCTCTGCGTGGGTGGGCAGATATCCGTTCTAGTCCGTGTGAAGGGAAAAGCTTGCAGATGAACGCTGAACCACTGTACAATTCTGCCTCCCATTTGGCACGCAGTAGCAGCCACTGCGGTTGCAGGCAATTGCTAGTATATTGCAGGACAAGTAGATTTGTTTTGTTCTAGCTTCTCTTTAACTGAGAGGAAATATCTTCCTTTCAAGGACAAGCTGTTGTGGGATAAAATAATAATGCAGGAGATAGCTGGGGTGGGGGGAGCCCTTCAGCCCTGAGCAACTGAGAATCAGAGTTCATAAAGAGGCCCTTCTTTTAAACTGTGAAAACCTGGAGGGGATGCAGGTGTGCAGGTGGGAAGGTGGGAAGAAGCCAGCGAGGGAGGACCCTTCATGCTCCTACCCTCTCCCAACCTGGTGCTCTCCTGCAATGCACCGCAGCCCCCAGACAGCACAGTTGGTTGAGGGATGCTGGGAGTTGTAATTCAAACTCCTTTGGAAGTCACCGGATTTGGGGACGCTGTTCTACATATTGGGGATTACATGCTTGGGATTAGAAGCAACAATTTTTTATGGTGTTTTAGCGCTGCAAGTTGTTCTGCCACTGCCATTGGAGTGCTTTGCAGCTGCCTGAAAGGCTTATACAGAGATGAATAAACAGTGAAAGAGACGTGGATCATGACCTCACACAGCGGTGAGTGGCTGCTCGTACTTTAGAAAAGTCATTCACACCATTCGTCATTTCATGAAGTTCTTCAAGTTGTTACAGTTATTTTAATGCTCTGCAAACTGAAGACTGTCCACTTACTGAGAATGTTTTCCGTGTTCTCCGTAACGAGGGGGCCTTCGGGATCCGGATCGGGCCTGGGCTCTAGGAAATATTCAGAAGCTACACAACTGCCTTTCTTCTGACCTGCAGAAGCAGAACATGCATCAGATTTATGAAAGGAAAGGAAAGGTTTAGAATGAAAATAAAACATTGGGAAAGAACAGGGCCACTTCTGAGAAGGGAGGGGAGGGAAGGTTAGTGTAGGCAGTGCGTCATCAGGGCAGGACTGTGGGGCTGAGGTCCAGGGCCCTATTTAGCAGAAGGTGCAGCGACATTTTGAAATCATGCATCCTTAGCTAAGAGTGTGCTCGCGTGCGCGCGCATGCGCGTGCGCGCACACACACACACACACACCACCAAGTTCTTAAAGCCCAGGGCTTAAACTTGCCTAACTGTTCCACTGCATACAGCTTGAGGGACAAAAAACCCATGTGCCACTGGGAGGATGTGGCATGAGGAAGAGGTCCAGTCCCATCCCTAGACTGGGCAATGCAACTGCTACAGGAGGTAAATGCCAAGAGCAGAGCCGCTCCTCAGCCACCCCCTCCTCACGATGAAGGCACCTGGGCTGCACTGGCTGTCAGCTCACCTGGGCTGGGCAGCGGTTTCCACCCAGCTGCTTTCTCCTAATGTGCCACAGGTGGCCATGTTGGGAGAAGTGAGTGAAGAGGCGTCTCAGACCACGTACCCAGGAGGCCTGAGTTCCACCTACACTGCTCTGCTCGTGTGACTCTGCATTGCACCACTGCAGGGCTTCCTTGGTTCGGGCCGTGGTGGCCAACAGGGACTTGGCAAAGCAGTGGCCAAGTGGCCATGGAGGACTGAGCCACTTGGGCCACCTCAGGCCGCAGGTGTCTTGTTGCTGGTGTTGGAGTCGGGACCAGCTGCCCACCTGGTCAGCTGTGCATGGAATGAAGCAGGGCACCATCTTGCTCTCCTCTTCAAACAGCAATTTATCTTGGGCTGGCCCTGGGAGACCAAGAACTAGAAAACGAGGAAAGAGGGCCTGGAAATAGGAGAATCAGGTGCCAAGGAGCAGAGGCAGGGCAGTTGAGGGAAGGTGGGGTGTGCGTGGTGGGGTCAGAACAAGTAGCAGGGATCCCCCGGCAGTGGAGACGCAGGTCTGCAGAAAAGCAAAGCAAAAGCAATAGGTATGCAAGAGAAGGAAAGGCCAACCGCTGGGGAGGTGCGGGGAGAGAAGAACGCCAGCCAGGCCCCAGAGGAAGAAGGGACTGCCTGTGGCATGGAAAAGAGAGTGCACAGAAGGAAGGTTCGGGTAAATGCAAGACTCGGTGTGAAGTGGGTTAGGCTGAGAGTCCGTGACTGGTCCAAAGCTGCCCAAAGTGAGCTTCCTGGGCGAGCGGAGGCCAGCACTGAATCACCAGAGTCCCAGTTCAGCACTCCCAAATGGACCACTGTACCAAACTGGATCTTTTCAGGCTGGATCCCTCACTAAAAACCCAGCCATCCATGGCTTCGTACCCAGGCCTGTGGTTGCTTTAAATGGAAGGAAGATGGACCCACCCAGAGAGCTTTGGCTAGTAGGCAGTATAGAATGGATACATAATTTGGATATCCATAACATGTATGGACACATACATAATTTAGTTTAAGGACAGTTCTATGTCTTCTTCATTTGGGGTCCACAGTGCAAGATCCACCTCTCCAACCTTTTTGGACAGTAGCTTGAGGTTTATTGGGGAGTTATGTATTTATGTCTTATATCTCTATTACGCTTTACTCCCTACAAGAAAACCCAAGGCAGCTTACATAATCCTCCCCTCCTTTCCATTCTGTGGTCACAACAGCCCTGTGAGGTAAGTTAGGCTGAGAGTCAGTGATTGGCCCAAAGTCACCCTGTAGGCCTCATGGTTGAGTGGGGACTAGAACCTTGGTCTCCTAAGTCTCAGCCCAACAGTCAAACCCTTATACCACACTGTCACTGAATCTCAATCTCAACTTCATCCCCGAAGTTTCCTGAATAGTGGCTGTTCAAAGCACCTTTTTGAGAACTCTGCTGCTGGATTGCTCCGGACTTTCCCAAAGTAGCTCTGCATCTCAATTGCACCTCAGGAAAGACCAGCAGTTTCAGCTTTGCAAGAGTTCAACTGCAACTAAATGTAGACTGGGATTTACAAATACAGCGAAATTCAGGCATGTTTTTGAGCCTCTTGGTGCATGACTTTGCCAATCCCCTCTAGTAACCAACATCTGTTAATTTACTGAAAAGCCTGCACTATGGAAGTAAGGGAAATTGGGACTGGGCACTGGACTACTGTTGTGGTCAAAGCCTTGACTGCACAGTCTGGTTGGGTGCAGACAACATGCCAAGCTGTAATGGGTTTTTTTTTAATTAATATTGGTCTGTCATGTTGTTTGAACCAAGTCATGGTATCTCACCATGGTAAGTTTAGTTTTTCAAAACTGGGATAACAAATAACAGTTTGTTTTATGATTTCTCCATACCATCATGGCTTGCTGTGTTGTCTGAACCCAGCATCATGGTTTCCACAGTCCTGGTATGCAATTACCACAGAGTTGTCTGGGAAGAAAAGCAACTGCAGGAGCTGTTCCAGGTATCTAGTCTCTGTGTGTGGACCAATGAGGAAGAGGCAGGCAGCACGGGCAGGAAGCAATGCACCTTGGGACTGAATTTCAAACACAGTGGCTGATGGGATATATGCAGGCAGTGAAAGGACTGAGCAGGGAGGATGGAAATAACAATATAGCAGAACACGCTTAATTGTTAGTCAGGTGAATTGTGGTAAAAAAATGATAGCCATGTAAGGTTGCTTGTTGTGTTGTGCGAACGCAGCCTCTGCTGAGGAGTTTCTCAGTGCAAGAGGAAGCCTTCCAAAGCTCTTACCAGCAAAGAAGCAAACCCTCCAAAGGCCGGCATGGAGTGCCATGACTATCTCAGTGGTCTGGTTCTGCGGAAACACAATCCCTTCTTCCATGAACAGCCAGTAGTCGGTACTGACAGCGATGCCTACAAGGAGCAAGCCACACGCTCCAAAAACACTAGACAGCAGGGTCAGGGCGCGGCTGCTGCAGTTACTCATCCTAGGCGACAGGGGGAGCCACTGGCCAAGTGCAGCGCAAGGACCTGGGGAAGGAAGAAACAGCAGTCGATTAGCCCTCCCAGAACCCGCCGTAAGCTCGCCCTTGGCCTGGACTTGGAGACCATAAGAAATAAGAAGCATGCTGTCTTTCGAGGCTCTTGGAGCCGCATGTGGCAAGGAAAGCTAGTAATGGCACATCGATGCTGCTTTGTGCGGCTCCCCTGTTATGGGTGGTGTGAATGAGCCTCCCCAGTCAAACCTATTGATCCGTCGAGACCTGAAGAGATGAAAACTTTCCGCTTCCATAGAAATAAATACGTTCTGGTTGCAATGCAAGGCCCTTATGCTCACCCAGAGAGCCTAGGAGTATTGGGTCTACGTGCCACCCGAATTCAGTAAGGCTCCTAAGGAACGCAGAGCCCTTGCTTACTAGAATCCCTGCCCTCTAAGGGGTGTAAGGCAATGAAGGGGAGCCCTTCTCTCACAAGCAGTGACCCCTCCCCGTGTGTGTGTGTGTGTGTGTGTGTTTATACTTCCATTTATATGCTGTCTACGACTCCTGTCAGCATGAATGCTGGTGTTTTCAGAGGCTCGCTGCAGCATGGAAGCGGAAGGGAAATCCTCATCTCAGATAACCGACTGGGGACCCCGTTGAGCCCCTGGACGACAGGTTCTCTGTCTCTGCTCCCAGCCAGTGAGTTTTAAACCTCCTCTCCACATGAGGGGAGACCTTGAGGGGGTACTGGGGGTGCTCCTTTCTCAGTAGCTGCTTTGTCCCGCTCTTTCTGATACAGGGCTCTTGGAGAGCTGTCCTGCAAGCTGCAGAGGGTTCTCTCCGGGATAATTTTCTAGGCTAAGGTGTCCTCTCGGTTTTCACAGGTTGCTCCGCATTGCAAGAAACAAGCATGTGCCCTAAATTACAGCTGCACGTGGCAGGGAGGTTCTAATAGTAGTGGCACACAATTCTTCCTCCAGGCAGACATTAGTGGTGTCAACAAGGAATTCCCACTATGCTTCTGAGGAATGGCAACATTCCTAGAAATGCGGTTCATAAACTCTTTTCCAAGGAGCCCGACTTCCTCATCCATTTTGGGTGTGAGGGCAGCCATTTTCACTTCGCACAATGCCTGGGAGAGTTGTTGTGAGAGGGCATTGTGGCAAATTTAAATGGCAGACAGCTGACCTAGCTGCCCAATGTTTATTGGAACATCAGCTTTTGTTTTATTTCATTTCATTTCATTTCATTTTATATCTCATCTCATCATCTCATCTCATCCTATCCTATCCCATCCTTTCCTATTTTATTTTATGTTATTATTTTATGGAGTTCTGTAGGGGAGCTCAGCCCTGGAAGCTCTCCCCCTCCAAGTGGCTACACACACAAACCCCACACACAAACCTGGGGTTCTAAGCCCAGCCTGGCCATGCACATTCTCAACATTTTGACAGACAAGGGCTGTAACTCAGGGCAGGACAGAGGCTTTCCATGCAGACAGTCTCATGTTCAGTCCCTGCCTGTCATCTCCAAGTAGGAATAGGGAAGACTGCCTAAAACTCAGGATAATGAGTGTTTATCTATTTATGGCACTTCTATATCATTTTTTTTCTCTTGCAAGGAACTCAGAGTGGCTCACAAGGTCTTCATCCTCTGGTTTATCCTCACAATAGCCCTGTGAGGGTGTTCAAACAACCTGCCCAAACCATCCCCATGCTCTTCATGGCTGAGTGTGAACTAGAACCCAGGTCTCCTGACTCCCAGTCCCACACTAACCACTATACCACACAGCCTCCCGGTGTTGATCCTAAGCCTGAAGAGTCAATCGTTTGGCTCAGTATAAGGCACCCTCCTGTATTCCTGCAAATCTCTTTATTGGAATTTTGTTGGCATAATTAAAACAAATATTTTTAAAGAGCAAAACAGCTCAGCACAATTCTCCACATGAATGTTACAGCACCCTGTTCGGTTCATGCTAGGATGGCCAATTACAGATAATCAAAAACGAAGAACAACATCCCCCAAAGGAGGGCAAACGAGGATACCATTTTGCATAACATTTGTATATGCAAATGTACATGTATAGATGTGAACTTAGAAATAGCAGCTCATACTGAAATAATTAATCATTTAATGGTTTACATAGAAATATAAGGCAGACCACCATCATGGAGAAAGATGGGTAAGTGACCTGTCCAGGTGCTGCTACCTGTGGATGGGCAACTTTAAGGTCTCCCCTGCCTTTCCCCTCTTTTTAGGGTTCTTCGACTTTAAACTAGACTTTGGTTGGAAAGCCCTTCAAATACAAGACACCTTCAAACTGAGGACTGTGCTCTGGAAACTGGGACACCCAGCCACCCTGCCTCCTGCTTGTTCCAACCATTAGAACTATCCTACCCATAAGCAAATAATATGGACCAAGAGGAATACAGAGCCAAAAGCACTTTATTCATTTATTTGTTTAGAACACTTGTACGCTGCCCAATTGTGCCGCAGCACCTCTGGGCAGCTCACTTGGCTGAGTGTAAATGCTCTGGATAAAGATGACTGTGAGAGGCCCCAAAGGATCCCATATGCTGCACGACTGGGCTAGCGCCACGTGGGGTGGGATCCTTGCCATTCCCTTCCCTTGCATAAAAGGCCCGCCATTCTAATTCCCCCATAATGCCTGGCGGCTTAAAATGGTCAGGGCCAAGCACACCCGAAGCTGCACAAAGAGGCCCTTGGGAGGGCCACTGAAGGCCCAAGGGGCTATCACTGGCACTTGAGGCCGGGGCCAGGGAGTTCCTGAGGGCTGGGGATATCCACAGCGGCCTCATAATGCCAAGACCAGGTGCCTCACACACCACCGCGAAGAAGTCAGTGGGGTTTCCTTTCAGGCAGGCGTGCAGAGGCCTGCTGCCTCAGCTATGCCCCTTCTCAGCAATGGCATAATGCAACTGGTCTCCAGTGCAGAGTGTGACGAGGCCGGCCCAGTTGGAAACCGAGCAGGCTTCCCATCCTGTGAACCGGAGGGAAGCTCCTGCCTCAGGCGGCAGAGCGGTGGGGCCGAGCAGGGCGCTGCTCCACACCACCCCGCCAGGAGCGCCCCTTCTGCCTCCCCTCCTCTCCTGAGCGAGGGCGGCCGCTCTCCCTCCGTGGGACTCGCCCTCACCTCCGGGCAGTGGGAGAACCGCTGATGGGGCTTTCCTGATCAGTCCCCCTGGAAAGCCACCTGTGCCAAATAAGTGGCTTCTTGGGGCAACCAGCAGCCCAAAATGCCCGGCTCGGAGGGACCTTCCTGTCCCACACCTGGCTCTCAGGAAGGGCTCCCCTCAGGTCAGGGTGAAGCAGTCCGGCCTGGCTTGTTCCTTGGAGAGCTGCGCTGGATGCTTCCTCTGGCCACACGGCTGGTGGCACTACAGGTAAGGCGGATGGAGCTTCATGTGCCAAGGGGGAAAGGGTGAGGAGAAGCAGGGGCCGCAGAAGGCCTGGAGGCCAGAGTTGGGCCTCAGCACCTCAGCAACCCCCAACACTGGCACCTGGCTGAACATGTGTCTTCTTCTGCAAAGGACAATCCTTTACTTGAAGGGCAACCACAGAACTGGCCTCTATGGAACAGTGTCCTCTGTTTGAGCTGCCCTGTCCAATTCTGGCTTGAAGATAAAGAGCCCAAAGAAGTATGGCCCATGAACAGTCAGCACCTGGACAACAGGCTGAACAGGTAGTTCCACAGGTCATCTGGGCACCATCTTCCATGGTGAGATGACCTGTGGATCCATTTCTATTTAAATTGCAGCAATTGTTTCCAGGTTTATATTTATATATATAAAGCAGCATAGTCCTCCTTCTTAGCAACACATGTGGCCACCCCTGTCCAGATCTACCCGTTCCACAAATACATTCTTACGCTCAAATACTGAGCCTTTCTCGCTCACCAAATACCGCTTGCTGGCTGTGGTCCATATAGCCCACATTTTAAGAGGCACACTCAGGGATAGCAGAGTCCTGCATTCTGTTCTTCCCTTCTGCCCAACCCTCACCCACCACCTTCCTCTAAAGCAATTGTGGCAAGTTTATCTCCGCACAAAAAGACTGGTTTTCAAGCTTGCCAAACATTCTGTCCTGGAAGCTCTGCACCAAGGTGTCTCTGTGTGCCTGCACTTGGAGAACATAGGAAAGAACTCTGTGTATGTGCAGAGGCAGTCATGGCACATCCTGAGGCTGAACCCTGTCATGGGAAACAAGGTCTTTTCTAGGACTGAAAACCAGCACAGCTTTTTACATTTATTTAACACATTTCTTAAACGTCGTAACTTTACCCAGTATTTTTATTGTTGCCTGTATTTTATATGGTGCAGTAAAGTGCCCAGAAACCTTCAGCTACTGGACAGAAATGAAACAAAATTGAATAATAATAAAAATAAAAATAAAAAAACCCTGGGGCTTCCCCCACTCCTTCCCAGCTTTTAACTCGTGGCTCCTGTACTTTCTGGCCAGCTTGCCTTCCTCCTGGGGGGATTCTGAAGGTCACTCCTACTTCCCCCACTCCATCTGCATGGATTTCAAGGCTCAGCACTCCCAGCCCCAAATCTTTTCATTCAGCCGGGCCAGAAGGCTCTCTCCATCCATGCGTGCCTGGAAGAAGTCGCACCTTTCCTATTTATTTCTCACTTGCAGAAGAGGAGACTATGGAGCTCCTGCCAACCGTCCTCAAGTCCCAGAGCAGTCACATGAAAGAGAGGGATCTCTTGGAGGGTGCTTGGGGAGCTTCCAGAATATGCCTGCCACCCCCTACTCCAAAGGGACGGCTTCCTCGCATCCTCGGTCCAACCTCGCCCTGGCTTTCTGTGTGCCTCCTTGCCTGCCCTGCGCACGCATCTCCACCCCCAGCCATGAAGCCCTGGCCACATAGTGGTAGTTTTCTCCAAGATACGTTTGTGCTTTCAGAGTCCTCCCTGCTCACAATGGATTTTAAGCACTTTTCCTGACTTGTGTCCGCAGGGGTTTCTATTTTTGCCCTCCT